AAATAAAATATTTTATGTTAAATTATTATTAAAATAGTAATAAAATATGTCTTATTAGGAGAAGTACTTGTCTCCATAGAGAAGTAAAAATTAAAAACTGAAAAATAGGCCAATACAATGGTTCAGTGGGTAAAGGCACTTGTCACCAATACGTGCAACCAGAGTTGGATACCCAGGACCCAGGACCCAGAATGGGGAAGGAGGGAAACAGGCTCCTGCAAATTGTCCTCAGTTTGTTCTGTAGCCACCACATGTGTGCCATGACATATGCACACACAGAAAGAATGAAAGAGAGGGACAGACCGATGGGGAGAGAGAGGAGGAAGGAGGGATGGAGGGAGGGAGGGAACAGGTGAGAGAGAGGGAGAGAGAAGTCATTTTAATAGAATTCAAAAATGAAGAAACTTTGGTCTGAAACAATGCTTTGTAAAGCCAGCAAACCCATTAGGGAAATGCCAGAATTCTCACTTCAGTAATAATTAATACACAGAATTAGGAAACAATAGGTCCTGCTGTGGTCTTAATGTGGTCCCTAGATCCTGCTGAAATCTAATCTCCATGCTGTCTATTATACTGAGGGCTGGGACTTAGGAAAGTGACTAGAACCAGAGGGAGTCCTAAGAGTAGAAGGCTCCCATGGTGGAATCCTCACAGATCTTACAAGAGGAACAAATGGGAGGTGCCAGACAGGCCTGCATGCTTCCTGATTACCATGCGATGTCCTGTGACTTGGAACACTTCAAAGAAGGTCTTTCACTAGATAATACCCACCCTTCAGCATTTAACCTCAGAATCATGAGCCAAAACAAACCTCTTTTCTTCATAATTCACTCCACCTGTGGTATTATGTTACAGCCAACAGAAAATGAACACAAGTTCCTTTAACAGTGTATTGTCACAAAAATGGAAATTAAACAATCTAATTGTGAGTTTCAAAGTCATGGTCTCAGATTCAGTTTTATCTGACCCTAAAGCACCAAGACAATGTTCTGATAATGTTTTGATGTCCACTTACTTACACCCTTATAAAATGTGTAATCATACCTTGGAAAAAATGTCTGAAAAACAAAAACCAAAATTATATATGATCATTTTGGTAGAACTAGGCATGAGTCTTTTTTTATTTGGTTTGGGTTTGGTTTTTTGTTTGTTTGTTTGCTTGTTTGTTTGTTTTCCAACATTATACATTTTCTAAACACTTTTAATGAACTTTTTTTATGAAAAATAAACTGCTACTTTACAATTATAAAAAAAAAATTCTTCTTCTTTCCAAACGATAGAAACAGATGATCGCTGGCACACTGCAGTACAAGACAATGTTGTCTATCATGCTAGAAGATAGTGGTCCTGGGAACACCTTAGTGGCCACTCAGTCACAAATCCTGTCTGATAATGGAAACAAACAAAACTTATCATCATTTTCCCCACCTTCCTCCACCCCTCCCTAGAGAACATTGAGAAGCATCAAAATCCCAATAAAAGCCGAGGAGAGCTGATTTCAGCCAAACCACTGGTGAAGACAGAGGTCCAATCACAGGGACACAGCACCTTTGCCTTGCCGTCCTCTGGGTCATCTGCCTTGGAGGCCAGCAGCATGAGTCTTAGAATGAGTGAGATACTGAGAGGAAACTGTCCTCTCAGCTCAGGTACTTTGGATTTTATGAGTTTTCCTATTTTGGGCAGCGGGATATCAAAAAAGTAGACATCACCTAGCAGGTCCTGCCCTCTTCTTCCAGCCCGACCAGACATCTGGAAACAGAGCAGAATCATGCAGTGAGAATCACCTGAATGTTTTTCCTAAGAGAATGTAAAGAGCTAGGACTTTTACACTGCTTTTGAGCAAGTGTGCTGTGCCTAGGGGTTAACTAAAATGAATAGATAGGCTGCTATTGAAAAATCTAAAAAATTTATCGTATCTGAAGCAGAGCTATTTTAAATAATATATCTGTCATTCCCATGTATCATTAATCATACTGTTTCTATAATGCTGTACAGAACTACATCTATTTATAAAATAATATATCTAATACTATGAATATATTATGTGCTATATAATTATATAATTGTCACTTTTGGCAATTACTTAATTGATAAAATATTCTATCTATGATATATAATATTATATAATATATGATATAACATATAACACTACATGATAATGTTTTATATATTAATTATACATGCTCCATATGATTTGAATGTTAGTATATGTTAGCTACATTTGATGCTGTGAGAAGAAATATTGACCAAACATTTCTGAGAAGGTAAACTCTATGAAGAAAAACTCTATTGTCTACAGAACAATAATAGAACAAGGAGAGTCAAAAGCAAGGAAAATGCTTTAATATACAAGGTCAAGACTTTGTGGTGAAAGATAAATGTGTGGGGAGCTGAGGAAGCCCTCAGAGAAATGAATGACATTCTATGTATATCATTGCAATGTATATCATTGACATAGGAATGGGTATGTCAAGGACCCAAGGCATCAGTCCCATGGGAATGGAAAAGTACCTTTATTCCCCCAAAGGGATTGGAAATCCTTCCTCTAATCCATTTTTAGATGTTAATAGTGTACGCAGAAACTGTCCATTATGCTTTCTCTTCCCAGATATTTGTGCTTGAAGACTTCTCCCCTCTAGACACTGCTCCTAAGATTAGCTAAAATGCTTCCTCTTTCAACTGTGTGCAATAACCCCACTTTCTGTTCAACTTTGTATAATATGCACACTGAGCTTCCAAGTGATATAATTTCTCCATCAGAGAGCCAAGTCCACCTGATCCCAGCTTTTCTGTGTGTCTGTGTATTTGTCTTTTTCTCACTACCTTGCCACCCCAGTTAGGTCAGTGTCTGAAGCTGAGCAGAGCATGGCAATAATGAATGCACAGATTGTGGGGAAGCAATGAAATAACACCACAGGAGAGTACAGAAGTTGGTTTGGAAACAGACTGTCTATCAAGATTCAAGAAAAGTATTAAAGATGGCTCCAGAGTAGAAAAACCCATGCTCAGTAAATGAGAAAGTAAATGTTTCCCAATAATCTTTGATATGGATCCTTTTTTGCAAATTGCTTTATTTAGTTTGTGTACATGTCATGGGGTCATAATGATTACCCATATTCTGCAGATAAGAGAGGAGATTGGCAGTCTTATGCAAGATCATACACATAATCTCATAGTTCTATGCTTACTCACCTACAGTGCTCTGCCATAAACTGGACCATGTTACTAAATCAGTAGTTAAAGTAACTTTTTCACGAATTCAGGGCTGTATAGTATTACTATATTAAGTTAATGTATATTGTAATACCTGTCTGAAATTTAAAGCATCCAGATAGATAGAGTTTTGAGCAAAAACCACAGATTTACAAGGCATGTTGATTCCTAAAGCAAGTGTTCCAGTAGCTGTCACCACCTAAAAAGGAACAAAACAGTGATTCTATAAACTGGAATTTGGGTAGAATACAAGTATTTCCATGCAATTGCTAAAAACTGTATTGAAATCCCAATAAAACTGCAGCGGGCAAACAAGGGAGATGAGGCACATAATGTTTCTTCCTATTTTGCAAACACAGACAGCACATTCTCTAATGGAATCATTATAATACTCATCACTTTGCAAGGAATATATACTTTAACTTCAAATGTGTGGTGCAAATGTCACAGAGGAACTTTGAGGCCACATCTAAAATACTTATCTTTTCTCATCACCATCTCTCTCTCTGCTCTTTGCATTATTCCCTCAATGTTCCTCAATATCATTGTACTTTTGTTTTCTCTTCAAATGCTAAAGTCAAAGCAGCATTCACTGTTGTATCTCCAGAGCCAAGCAGAACGTCTGGCATGGGATTTAGTATTACAATAAACATGGTAAGTAAAATATTAGGAGAGGAATTTCTCTGTGAAAGGGCAATAAATATTTTACAAGCCTACTTCCTGGTAATTATTTGATCTAGTAAAGTTCATTGAGAAATGACATAAAAACAAAGTACATTTTCTCTTTCTGTTGTGAATTTGCATAATCACTAACCAGAAACAGAAAGAAATGTAAAGTTTATTCACATAATCTAACTTCTTGCTCATTTTTTCCTGATGTGGTTAATATATGTTGACTTGTCCTATCTTGTTGTGGAATCATTTTTTGTACACTGTGAAGATGTGTCTTTGCCAAAGTGCCTTCTGATTGGTTTAATAAAGAGCTCAATGGCCAATAGCTAGAGAGGAAGAGATTAGGAGGGACTTCTGGGCACAGAGAGGACTCTAGAAAAAAGCAAAACAGAGTCACCACCCAGACATGGAGAGGAAACAGGAGGTGCAAGAGAGAAAGAGAGGTAACAACACATAGCAGAACCTAGATTAATATAAACGGGTTAATTTAAGTTATAAGAGCTAGTTGAGACAAGCCTAAGCTATAGGCGAGCTTTCATGATTAATAATAAGTCTCTATGTCATTTTTTTTTTTGTGAGCTGGTAGCTTGAAGAAAAATCCACCTAAACTATTTCTTCAGATTGATGGCTGTTTGTGCTGTGGTTTGTGATGATGTTTAAGGATGTACAGTGATGCTTTCTAATTGTTTTGTAACTGAGGCTAATGCCTCTGTCAAAATGAAACATGGTACTTATTAAATGCTTTAAATTCAAATCTCTTTAACAAGCACAAATATTGAGAGAGTAGGAGCTTTACATTTAGAAAATGAACAGGACAAATGCCTTTCTAAAATGTATTCTCTGATGAAACTATTACTGTTTCCCTAGTAGCTGTTCTGTTATCAGCCAAGTTATTCATCACTTTATTAGTGACAAAGAAATTACTGTCAGATACTATTTCAGTCACTTCTCTTTCTGTTTTTCTCTCTCTCTTCCTTACATCCTTTTTCTTTTAGCCTATGCCACACAAAATTTAAGGTTGATAATTTTTAGTAGTCAGGGTCAATTTTTAAAGATTACTCAACACTCAGAAATACTTAGTAATGCTCTAAGTGCCCTCTGAATACTTGTCTGGATTATTGCCATGAGCCTTCCCAGGATGCACTAAAGAAAACTTGATAAGGATGTGGCCGGAAAGTTATTTATGGCCATCTTCCTCTTGTCCCCCATCAGTAACAGGAGAAACGACATTCAGTTCTGACATATCTACAAGCTCTGCTTAGATAAGCTGAAGTCCCGAGGAAGCAGATATCTGTGCTCTGATTTCAGCTACCACACTAGAAAATGACCTGCTCCCACTTCAAATAGAAATACCCTCTAAGTTCTTAGAGGTAATATTTGTAGCAAAAACATCAACAAACCCTACATAGAAAAACAGAAGAGTAAGATACAGCGCCGAGATCAGCATAGAGGTGCTTCGTTTCCTTGTGTAAGGGTATGGCGTGAGTGACACCCGTCAAACCTTCTTCCCCAGTTAAATGACATGGAGCATATCCAAAGATGCTACAGTCAGTAAGCAAAGTCTACAGCCCAAGAGGCATAGCTACACGAGGGGAAGAAAGTAAAGGGGTGACTGTATTTCCTCATTTCATGCTTCATATCTTCACCATTTCAAATTTTACAATGAAAAGCTGACCCACCCTAATGAATCCTTTCCTAAAGAGAATTTCGACTAGCTGCTTTTCTTTGGCACTCATGGAGCTGTGATGATAGCCGATTCCCCTTCTTGCCAAATTCTTCAGTATGGTACCTTCCCTTTCGAATTTCACTCGACTAAATACCATCTGCAATGACTAAAAGAAATAAGAGATTTAGAGTATTGTTTATCTAATTCTCAATCAAACAAATTTTTTTTTCTTTTGGTTTTTCGAGACAGGGTTTCTCTGTGTAGCTTTGCGCCTTTCCTGGAGCTCACTTGGTAGCCCAGGCTGGCCTCGAACTCACAGAGATCCGCCTGGCTCTGCCTCCCGAGTGCTGGGATTAAAGGCGTGCGCCACCACCGCCCAGCCTTCAAACAAATATTTTTAACGAAACTATATATATATATATATTACGTAATATGTTGGCCAAATGATGTCACTGCTTGGCCTTTCCTCTACACATCATCATCAACAACAACAGCAACAAAACAATGTTTTATGGCAAAAACAGTCACCACAAGAAAAGTCTTCTCAGTTCCTGAAAATCTCACTTCAGTTGTGAGATAGAAAACTCTGCCAGTGTAGTAGACAGCCCCAAGGGAAATACAAGACTGTGGCCCACTTCTGTCTAAACAAGATCAAGTGACTATGAAATCTTTTCTAAAGTTCTCCCCAGAAAGTAAAGCAAAACCTTTATACTGTAAGGTCAAGAAATGTCTACTTCCCACTGCAAATGACGTACTAATGGCCTTAAGAATATCCACATAATAAGGAGGAGTTCCAGTTGTGTCCAGTGTTATTATATATAAAAAGATCAACACTCGGAGAGAAGGGACAAGTTTACATCTCCAAAAGTAAAAGACTAGTACCTAGCTATTTTGATTGTATAACTATCTATAAGACAGAATGTCAAGGATCAATTAAAACAATGGTGTCCATACATGGTCATGAAAACAAGACAGACCAAGAAACTGACAAAAGAAGAATCATGATACAATGAAAACATATGTGAGTGAGTGTGTGAGTGTGTGTGTGTTTGTATGATGACACTACATTTACTGTTAAATATGTTGTCTAAAACAGGAATAGTTTGAAGGACAAAAAGTTTAAAGATGATGGGCTAACCCAATTTTAGATATCCCAATGACTCTTTGGTGAAAAATTTTAACTACAATATAGAAAAACTCTAATTTTAAGAAATACTGTCAGTATCTAAATATAGTAGTCTACAGGGGTACACATTCTGACTATAATATACAGACTTTTACAGAGGACATGGTGCAAAAGCAGCCACTTAGGTAATCTGTCATCATGACAAAATCAGTCTACAAAACTTGAGCCTATTTTAAGTGTACACTGCAAGGTCTGTGAATGTTCTGTGCAGCAAAGGTCCTGTCTACGATGTCTCCACTTCATAGAGACTTCTCTCATGCTGTATGGTCAATACTGTCTGCATGGAAGAGGCTTCTCTGAGGAACAACACTCTCTCTGGGAGCACCGGTTCCTTCTGGGTGCTAACCTCATCATCTATTGCTTTCTGATCAGCATACGTGCAGTCCTGGGGAATCGCCAGATTCTTCTCCAGACTCTTCAGGAGGTAATTGTGCTCAGCTTCATGAATGATGCTTTGATCCAATCTTCTGGAGGGTTTCTGACCTTTTTCATCTCTTTATAAGAACAAAATTTCAAAAAAAATCAATATTTATATCCAATCACCACAGGAGCCCAGAGTATCTTAAGTCATGCTTACCAGCCAGAATCATTATTTCTTGCATTTATATTATCATGACTCGGTCCCTTGCGCCTAATGTGTTTACTCATCAGCCCCTGGAGCCTATGATCCCTCAAGATCAAACCACTGTGGATGTGACATTTTTCTATAGTGTTCTCCTCCATTATTTTCCATTCCCCAGATGACCTTGCTTCATCTTGCTAATGTGATGATCATTGTCTCCCCCTCAGCCTTTCTCACACTCAGGTGGGAGGTATGTGCTCTCCTCTCTCTGTTTTGCCAATTCGGGATACTCTCCTTCCTCCTTGTGGTGGACACTGCAAGCAGGGGCCAAGCCCAGGCTATCATCTAGCAGAAGCCTCACCTTCTTAACTTTGCCTTCCTCCTGTTCTTCCTCATGATTTCCTTATGTGCTCACCCTTCACCAAGGCATGTACACACATGGACAGCCCTTCTCAGCATGTGCCACATAACCCAGCTGAGACTCTTAGGTAATCACTCTGTATTCTCCAGGACCCTTGAATACACCAGACTTTTACAATCACTAGGTTCATGTATACTTTTTTCACATGTTTTGTCTCTTAACTACGCAAATAAGATATTTCTGAACCTAGGAAGATGAGGTCACTTGCATTCTACCATGTAGTCATATACATCACAGATCCAGAATACGTCACCTCCAAGGAGCATTAACCTTAATGAGGAAGGGAATGTCATGATTATGACCAGCCGTATGTTTTCAAGACACATGCTAATGGACTTACAGAGGATACAGAATGTTGTCTAACTCAGTTTTTTGAACTATTAAGTAAAACACTGTTAATAAATAAAAACTGCTAAAGAAAACAGACAAAATGTCCTTCCAGCTCAACACATGTGACCCTGTAAGAGTAAGCTCTTAGTGTATGTTTCTTTATGGGTTCCTGCATTATAGAAATGGATGAAGACAGATAAGGGTCAGAGTTTTGTCCTCCAAAGCATAGGGCATGAAGTAGGGTCCCTATCCTCCTACAATGAGAGTGATGAATGTATTAAACACCTTTCATTTTGACAGCTTGAGTTGCTGGTCACCAACCCACCTTGACCATGTGGCTCCTGAAAACCTGAAGCAGAGATATCCTAAGGAGGATCATTTCCCAAGAAATCTTACACTTCCTACCTACATTCTCCTGGGAGTCCACTTCCTCCATACTACCTAAGAAATATACTACCCAGGAAATAGCAAAACATGAAGAGTCATTGTATATGAAAAGATCCAGAGCAAACTCTAACTTTCTCTAAAATTTGGAATATTTGAATCAGAGATGCTCTAAAAGTTTGTTTCAACTTTAAAAAGAGTTCTAGCTCTTTAGTTAAAAATATCTCAAACAGTTTAGGCAGTGGGACCGGGACCTGTCCTTAGTGCATGAACTGGCTGTTTGAAACCTAGGGCCTATGCAGGGACACTTTGCTCAGCCTAGGTGAAGGGAGGAGGGAACTGGACCTGCCTCGAATGAATCTACCAGGCTGAGCTGAATTCCCATGGGAGTCCTTGCCCTGAAGGAGATAGGAATGTGGGGTGGGCTTGGCGGAGGGCAAGGAGAGGCGGGAGGAGGGAGGACAGGGGAATTTGTCACTGATGTGTAAAATTAAATTAAATTATAAAAAAAAAATCTCAAGACCTCCCTAAGAACTAGCTTTCTTAGCACCTAAAGGTACTATACAAGCTGCCAAGGGAACAAAACAATGAAAAGTCTTACCAAGCTGTAAAACCTACAAACTGCAACAGTAGTATGGCAGTATATCTCCAGTGGTACAATAGTGGCACTTACATCTCTGGGGTAACTACCAACAACTAGTTGGACTTAAGGCCTCACTCAGTAGTGGCATATTCATGCCTGCTACTATAAACCTAACCAACTGCAAGTCACTGGTGAAATAATGGACCATAGTAGGGAACTTACTGCTACCATATCCCTAAACCAGTATAACCAACAACAGCATTCTAAATACTTGTTCTTACAGACAGAGATAAGTGTAGCACTCACCCTCATCAAAGAAGCTTCTGTTTGCAGAAGACAAAGCCCATCAAAGATATCATCAGCTGGTCAAAAATGCAGAGAACAACTGACCATGGGGTGCCTATCTCGACTTGATACATCTACAACACAACTCCTACATGTAAGGCTCAGGGAACACTGAGGAATGGGGACATAAAGACTGTAAGCACCAGAGGACCAGGACATCTGCTATCAGATAATGCCTTCTGTAAATGACAGAGAAGCTGTGTCCACAAAATCTGAACTATATGGTCACCCAAACAAGACCTGAACAGTGACAATACTAGTCGATAACAAACACGAATGTGGGAACTCTCAGGAGGACCCATCCCTAGATGAAAAGCTATAGGCAATTAATTGGCTGGCAAAAGAGAGAGAATCAGTCCTCTCTAGTTACTAGCTTCCTGATACCTTATCCAATCCCAAGTAGTCATCACTAAACATGTAATCATATATGCACACTAATGGAATCAATAGAATCTGTTTGTGTGTGTGTGTGTGTGTGTGTGTGTGTGTGCTAATTACAAAAGAAGAGATTATGAATTTGAAAGGGAAGGGACAGGAGAGGAGCTGGAGTGGGGAGAGTGTGGGGAGGAATGATATAAATACAATACTCATGCATAAAATTCTCAATAGTAATAATATAAGTATTTTTAAAATAGTTTTAAAGTAAAAATCCTTGGAACAACTATTATCTGCCAGGCTATGGAGATGCGAAGAGGAAAATGTATGCCTCTTGTTGTAAAAAAGCCTAGGATTTAGGGAAACTAATAAAGATTTAGTGTCCCATATATGAAGAGCTTGGGAACTGAATTTTAGGTTTTGGATTTTGAAATACTGAACAATAAATAACAGCATATCTTGGGATGGCACCCAAGTCTAAACAAGAAAATTTATTTAGATTTTATCTATACTACTCCTACATACAGCCTGGAGGCAATTTTGTACATAATTTAAATAAATGTATACATAAAGCAAAGTTTTATCATGTGAAAGTTTCCACATACAGTGTTACCTGAGCAGTCAGAGTTTCAGATTTTGAAGAATTTGGGATTTTATATTTTTCATTTTAGGGATGGTCAGAGTGTATATTTTAAAAATACAGAACAATTTATCTCCTAACTAAACAAAGCAGAACACACAAGGAAGCACAGGTCTAAGTCCAGGAAAGAGCACAGGATTCAGAGAACAGAAATATGAAGAGTTTCCAACCCACACAGTCACTGAAGATGGAGAGGACCATGAGGAGGACACATTTTAGCTACACCCTGGAGAAATGGCCTTCCAAGTGTAAAATTGGCATTGTAGTCCAGTCCAAAACTCACTCTATGGCTCAGACAGTGATAATGTATCATGAGTCAAGACAGAGTCACATGGACGATGTGGGATGATGATCTTGTCAAGTTCTGTAAAACACATAGACTTAGAGAATCTGGACCTGTTTCAAACAACCATAAATTAAACTGATTTATGCAACTAAGGAATATGTGCTGCTGGTCACTTATCTTCACTCAATTCTCCCTCTGAAATTTAAAAACAAAAACAATCCAAGTCTTAATTAGAATTTCATTATAGCATTTTCAATGAGCATTTCCTACTAGGACATTTGGGTTCTACAAACCTTTATGTGGCCAATTTGCTTAGTGAAATACTTACATTATCTTTTGTTTCTCCAAAGATTTTTTAACTTTTCGAAGTTTGTTAGCCATGTCATAAGCTTCTTTATCAGCTTTGGGAGGCCTTTTCTCCTCCTGTTTCTTCTCCAGGAATTCGAAGGTAGCCTCAGCACATCCTTCTACAGAACCTAATCTAAATCTGGAAGCAAACAAATGTGTATTTAATATATCATATTGTCATAAGATTAGGTCTCTCCATCTTTTCTGGTTGTGTGTTATATTTCTCATGGCTATGAGTAAATGGCTGACAAGGAGCGATTATAGAAGGGTTTAAACTGGTTTACAGTTTGAAAGGACACAGTTACTTATTCTGGGATAAGGGTAAGCATAGCGACGAAATGTGGCCAGTCACATTGTGTCTATAGTCAGGAGGCAGAGCACAAACAGAAAGTGGGTCTGGCTATAAGACTTCAAGACTTGACCTCAGTGGCCCAGGATGGTAGTTTGACTAAGAATGGTCCCCAATAGGTTCATGTATTTGAATACAGTCTGTAGTTGGTAGAACTGTTTGGGAAGGATTAGGAGGTGTAGCCTCGTTGGTGGAGGTGTGCAACTGAGATCAGTTTTTGAGGTATCAAATGCCCGTGCCATTCCCAGTTAGCTATCTCTCTCTGAACCCTACTTTCTCATAATGATGTACTCTCTCAGTTACTGCTCCAGCACCATGCTTACCTGCCTGCTGTCACATCCAACTGCCATAATGGTCAAGGACTGTAACTCTCTAGAACTGTGAACCCCAGTAAATTCTTTCCTCTACAAGTTGTCTTGGCCATGATGTCTCTTCATGGCAATAGAAAAGCATTAAGGTACCCAGAAAGGCTTACATATCTGCACAAATATAATCTGCACTATGTTGTTTAATTCATAGCTCTGATCTGAGAAGTATAAATGACGACATCCCAGACCAGGTCCATGGGTAAGGTAGCATCTCATAACTTTCCAAAACCTTCCAAAACAGCACCACCAGCTAGCACCAACTGTCCAAACACACACTGATGGGAAGCACGTCACATGAAAACCACGACAGTGGCATATACCTGTGGGTTTTTGAAGGCCACCTTTGCTAATTTTATTCTGAATTCTGGGTGCTCTAGGTCCACATACTCCAAATTAGCAACCGTGAAGTGAAACTTAAGTTTCTCCAATGCCATATTCCTGTTACACTGCAGTGTGAGCTCATGGACACTCCCCACAGGACAGACATGCCCAGAAACAAGGGAAGCAGTGATTTGTAAACAGAAAAAAGAGAAAATCACCCCCACCTTTTACACACCTTCCTGAAAGATGAGAAAGGTTTCTAGTCAACCCAAAAAATTTGTTCTTTTGACAAAGTGGAAAGAGGCATAGTTTCTCACTATCACATAATTACTTCTTTCTAGAAGGGAGGAAGCCCTGGAGGTCATAGCTTTTATAAGCCAGAAAGAAGGTCTGCTAGACATGGCCTTTATATCTTGAAAATATAAATACCTAGGACTCTAAAGGGGCAGAATTCTTGGCACATTGGGGCTCACCTTGTGGACCTTGTCTGCATCTCAACCATTTAGACTTCTGAGATCTGAGCAACCAACATTGCTGGTCGAATTATCTCTCCAGAAACAGTCAAAGCAAACACAACGCATTTGCATCACATGAATTTCACAATGTTTAGAATGTAGAGATTCTGATGACAAGCAGGCTATGAGAAAAATCATTTCATTTCATCACTGTGGCTAGGAGTCAAATACCGTGTCTGAAGTAGCCACTGGATGACATCGTTGTATTATATTATAGCACATGACAGGTTGGAATTTTATAATAAAGTTAAGTTGAAAGTGTGGGACAAAAGATTTTCTTTAAAGAAAAGCAAAACTTTGCAAACTCAGTATTTTAAAAATTGTGAGGCTGAGCCTGTTGTCACAGGCCTGTCTACAATCCTAGCTAGTAGGAAGGCTGAGGCAGGAGGATTACAAGTTGAAGGCTAGCCTAATATACAAATGGGTTCAAAACCAGCCTGGGTAACTTGGTGAGATCTTATCAGAAAACAGAAAGGGGGAAACTGCCTGAGGCTATTGCTCAGTGGTAGAGTGAGTTTCTAGTGTGTGAGGCCCTGGGATCGATTCCCAGCCAGTGTCACAAAAATGAATTAGAAAAACACAATCAATCCACAAAGATGGAGGGAGTTACCCTGGTGAAGCAGGAACTAAGAAATGGCAGTCAATGCTACTTGACTAAATCAGGTAACAAAATATGAAGAGGAATAGATGTATTACAGTTACTGTTGTCAGAGGCAATTCTAAGTGCCTTGAATGTAATAACTCATTTGATACAACAACCATTATACCAAGTATTATGCCAACTCTATCATTCCCATACTACAGATAAGAAAATGGAGATATAGAAAGATTAAAGGGCCTACCCATGATTATACACAGCTAGTATGTAACAGAGTGTATCTTCTAATCTACATTTCTGACTGTACGGTTGTGATATTATCTTTATGTCATGAAAGTTCCAGTCATTTCCACCACAGTTTACCTCTTTTCAAAAATCTACTACAGCACTGCAGGGCGGTGGTGGCGCACGCCTTTAATCCCAGTGCTCAGGAGGCAGAGGCAGGTGGATCTCTGTGAGTTCGAGGCCAGGCTGGGTTACAGAGTGAGTTCCAGGAAAGGCACAAAGCTACACAGAGAAACCCTGTCTTGAAAAACCAAAAACAAACAAAAAACAAAACAAAACAAAACAAACAGACAAAACCCTACTACATTGCTTAAAAATAACTGTGCCTCCCAAGTCTCTCTGGCACAGAATTACACAGAATGAAAATGACCTGAAATGGCACATCAGCAATTAATACTTTATACCACTGGACTACACACCCATGACCTTCAGATTTTGGTCTCACCAAAATTCTCTGTATGATTACTGTCACTGAGTGCCTGGCAATCTGTGACCCAGCTAAAGGGGAGAGAAGTAGGATTTACGCTGAGCCCTGGCTTTGAAATGTATGCCCTTAAGCACTGATCAACATTTCCAACCTCCAAGCCTCTAAACACGTGCCACACATTTTTTCCCAAACATCGGGGTACAGAATGTTGGGGCTATCAATATGTGATAAGCCACTAAAGACTAACACTCACACTGCATGTAAGAAAGGATTTTCACAGTTTGTCTTTCAAAGGCACTTTTAGAAGTACCCAGATAGAACTCCACACACAGAATTTTACATATCATATTTTGGTACTATCAGCCTTTTCAGATATCTTATGAATACACAGTTCAGAACATGCCATCCTTGTACCTGGAGGAGATGGCCCTTCATTTAATAAGAATGAGAAGTTGAGAGAGAGAGAAGTGTGTACAAGGCTTTTCTCCCTGGACATCTATTTCTTCCCTCCATTAACTACAATGGCACATGCCCATTTAGTGTGTCACACTTGTACAACTTGCAACTTTGTTCAGTTCAGGCTGAAGTGTCCATTCCTCATGTCATTGGGTCACCGTTTCCTTATGAAGCTCCCATGACACGTACTATTTATCCTAAATCAGTGAGTATGCTTTTCCCCTATTGACCAACTGAATTCTTTCAACGGGATAGAAGAACAATTACATGTGCTCAAATCCCTATGCATATGAATATATAAATGATAAAGAATTGTTCTGTGATTTTCAACACTGCGGTTAAGCTTGCATACGTATCTCAGACACAGAGAATGGCTCTTGTTTCTAATATCCATGACTGTACTTGGAAGGGAAGCAGATAACTGTGTGAATTTTTCATGGCACAGGAAAGAGTTTTTCTCTTGTTCTACATACACAGGCAAAAGGAACAACTTTACTAGAATCTCCAAAAATAATCAAATAGGAACATGCCTCACCTACTACCATTGTTTTGAGTTTCTATCACCAAATATGATTCATTACTATATATTTATGTGCATGTGCATAAGTATTAAATTTTATAATACAATGGTTTTATTTATTCGATGATCCTGTGACTTGAGAGTAGTTTGAAAATGTCTACAGTAAGTATTCTCTTGTCACATAATTAACAAGCTTAACAAGGTTAATCTATAAACACTTATCCTTGGTGCCATTTTATCAGAACTGGATCCATTAAACTAGTATATTCAATTTTAAGTTGCTACATTCTGTAACATGAAATTTAGCAAGGTATCACTGGCTCTAGATTATAGTTCTCATTACAATTAGTTTGAAATAGCTTAATAGTTTACCAATATATATTGTATCATATTATAAAAACTTAAATTTTGTGCAGGATAGTAACGATGATGGCTATGTTCAATGGGCTTTGCAAAGAACCAAGATCTGTACTGAAAATTATTAGTAATACCTAAGACAAAAATGATACTTTATAGTAAAACAAAAAAACGAGGTATCAAACTTAATAAAAAAATAATAGAACACTAAAAAAAAATTTTTTTGTTTTTTTGAGACAGGATTTTTCTGTGTAGTTTTGGTGCCTGTCCTAGATCTCACTCTGTAGACCAGGCTGGCCTTGAACTCACTTAGATCCACCTGGCTTTGCCTCACAAGTGCTGGGATTAAAGGCATGCACCATCACTGCCTGGCTAACTAAAAATACTTTTAGGAACATAACTAAAACTGGGCATAATGGTGCATGCATGTCTTTAATCCCAGCAGAGAGGAGACTAAGGCAGGAAGGCCAGCCTGGGCACATATCAAGATCTTATCTCAAACAAACAAAAAGAACCAGAACAACAAAAAGTGGATATAGACAATTTTATGACTTTAAATAAGTCATATGATTTTGATAAGTGAACAAACACCCAAAGAAATAATAAGTACTAGACCACAGTGGTAACGTGTATATGATTTCCTGTACCTTAAAAGAAGGAGCCTAACACAAATTATGTCACAATGTTAAATAACTTACAAAAAGAACAGTGCAGGCAACTTCTCCATTTCCCTGAGCTTCTCAACAAGATTCGGAAAGAAGTCCAGCATCTTCCCTGAGTAGTCATGGAAATCGGGACTCAGTTTCTGCAGCACCATCCTGGCCTGTGATGGTGAGTGAATGGAAAGTATTTGTATTAAAATGTGCACAGCAAAGAAACTATTTTCATAGTTGTTTAATCTTTGTTTTTGTCATTCTCCAAAATAATCTTATGAGACTACACCACAGGACTGTGGTAAGCCACAGCAAAGACACATGCAAACCGCAGACTTGATAACAAACTTTGGTGTACTGCACGCACACACCTGCAGTTGTTTGAGACAACACAAATCCAGCAGGCGGAAAAGCTCTGCTCGGTCAGCAATGTTTCTGCCATAGCAGGAGAAAGGAGCCCTCTCCACACTGCATAGGAAAATATACCTAAACCTGACTGAGAGGGTTTGAATGACGAGATAACCAAAGGAAAATGTAACTTAACTAGATTATGTTTCCAAATGAAAGAAAAAACAAATCAAGGTACAGGTGTGGGGACAGGATCACATGAAAAAGATATCATATACACTATTCCTAAAAAAAATCAGAAATCTCAATGTTTGATGATAAATTTAAACAAAATAAATGTGTAAGCATCTAGTTCCAGGGTAAGACTTCTTTACTTAAAGAGTCCTTACAATTTAAAATAAAGATCACGAGGAATAAAACCTCCAAAACAGCTGCAAACCTGTTCTCTGGACATGACAGGGACATGGAACACATGAGCTCACAACAGCTGTGGATACCTGCAAACAAGCTCATAAGATCAAGTTCGAAATAATTTCAGCATGTGTGGGGAGGGGCTCACAAACCCTCACTGAGGAGCTACTGCCAAATGATGGCTTCCGTGGAAGGGAGGCAGTCAGTGTTCTTCTCATATGCTGACAGGCTGCCCATGTTCCAGGAGATGGCCCTGCACCCACGTGTACATAGGCAACACTGAGCGGACTCAGTGAGTTTGAAAGGAGCACATGAAGTTGGAAGGGATTGGTAGGAGGGATATAGGAGGACTTGGTGGGGGAGGTTTGGGGAATGGATCTGAAAACACATGCACATGAAATTCCCAAATGATAACTTGTTAAAGAGAATAAAACTCCAAAACTAAGAAAGGAAGAAAGGTGAAAATGTGTTTCAGTTCCTTGAGTCCCATCTCTATACTGCAAAAACATCAATCGTCCCAACCACGAGCCCTGTATTTCTCTCTTGTCTGCCATCAAATCCATGAGAAACCCATGGTGTGTGGCCAAGTTTAGGAAACACTGAAGAAGAGATCTAAAAAAAAAATTCCTTTCTCTTTTTTTGTTCCAGCTCAGAATCACCATACATCAAGTCAAATGTGTGAAATTACCTGCTCCTCGTTCCCATTTTTAATCCAATTCACGAATTCTTCCTTTAAGCTCTCCTCATATTTTCTAGCATCCAACTTTTTAATGACTATTTTGTTCTTAAAATGAGCGAAGTTCTCTGGACACAGGTTCTGGGAAAGGAAGAACATAAAATTCTATAAAAATAATGCCAGAAAACTTAAAGGTATTTCTCAATTATATTTTTTCATTGACAGTTTTACGATCTCTTAGGTTAGAGGCAGTGGACTTCTCTTACCTCCCCATACCTTCTAGTATATAGAACTATGTATGAACTCTTCAAAGACAAGAAGACAGAGCAAACAGGTCTCTGGGGAAAGCAACCAGCAGTCAGGACACAGAGAACAAAATGAGGTGAAAAGAATCTGAAGACTAGAAACCCAGAGTGGGAAAGGAGACCCAGATACCACAGTGTCTGGGAAGGAGAAAGCAGGGACATTTTCAGGAGTTGACATAAAATACCATTTCTAGCCCATTTAACTAGGAAGGTATAAGGAGGCCATTTCCTCTAGGAAAAGGTCTGCCAATCATTTTAAACCACCAAATGCAAGTGGTAGAAATAGTGACCATATGTTTTGGAACAGCAATGGTGGATTCCACCATAACAGCATGGATTCCATGAAGATTGTTTACCTGGGCCTGAGGCCAACTCTTCCAGACCTGAAGCATAGTGTCATAGAGCTGGATGCTTTCTCGGGGTGAAAAGGCAAGATCAGAAGGGAATCCATACTTCTCAATCTATGATTAAAATTAAATCAAATTTATTATTTATATTTTATTTTACCTACAAAATGCAAACATTTACAAGGAATACTTAATTGAGGATTAAGAGCTGGAAAAACAGTGAAGACTGCATTGAGCATATTGCCTTTAAAAAAGAATTTTCATAAATTATGTGTGTGTGGGGGGGGCGTTCTGCCCCCTCCCTCCAGGCCAAAAGAGGGCGACAGATGCCCTGGAGCTGGAGTTATAGGCTGTTGTGAATCACCCAGTGTGGGTGCTGGAAGACAATCTCAGGTCTTCTGCAGGGTTCTCTTAACTACGGAGACATCCATCTATCCCCACAGCCAATGTTAGCCTTGTGTTCTCTTTTCAATTGTTGCTTGAGAGTGGTGACCTTTTTAGCCAGACCAAAATGAAACAAAAATTAATCTAAGAATTCTTGTAAGTTTTAAAATACAAATCTTCTGCTGAGTCACAGGCTTGACATTTCTCGTTTCTTACCCTTTCACTCAGGCTTCAGTGCTGGGGGATATCTTTCTGTATGCTGTGAATATATATTGTTCCCATTAGTTAATATGTAAGCTGTTTTGGCCTGTGGCAAAGCAGCTTAGAGGCAGGCGGGGAAACCCAAGGAGAGAGACAAGAAAGAGAAAGGCAGAGTCTGGAAAGATGCTAGCCTGCCACCCAAGGAGCAGCAGAGCCAGCAGACCTGTAAGGCCACGGAAGACGTGGCAAAACACAGATTAATAGAAATGGGTTAATTTAAGATATAAGAGCTAGCTAGTGAGAGGTATGCCATAGGCCATACAGCTTGAAAATAATATTAAGCCTCTGAGAGATTATTTTATAAGTGGCTGAGGGACCATAGGGCCAGGCAGGACCTGAGGAACATGGGACTGTGGGGCCGGCAGGACCCGGGAAAATTCCAGCTACACTACAGTCTCCTCATTTCTAAAGATAAAACATTACTTTTGTCTGTGTCACTAAATTGTTGTGAGAAATAAACTTGATAATAGATATGGGTCTTAGCCAAATGTCTGGCATATGACTGGCTCACCATTCATTGATATGTTTTATCACTTAATAAGTTCATATTTTGTAATTTTAAAAGAACTTAATAATTCTATGGTCCAAGCTGGGGGATTCAATCTTGTTGTTTCCCACAACAAACCAGCAAAGAGGCAAAGCCTGAACCAATTTAGGCAGAGAGAAAAGAGAAGTAGCAGTGAATCGCCGTACAGTGGTGTTCTGCCCTTTCATTATTTTGTAAATGCAAGTCTCCCTAGTACCATGGGTGATCTTAACAATCACTCCACATTGAGCAAGAGATGATAGTTCTTTCAAGTGTTTCCCAGGCCAACAGCTCTCCAGACAGCAGCAGCTGCGCCTGGATGGCATGATAATTGAGGGGAAAGGTCAAACAAGGCTGCAATTTGCCAGGAACAAGACATACATGGACAAGGGCAATCCCTCACTGGCGATCCCTTGCTTCTGTTGGGTTAAGGCCAGCTCATTTGTACTCTCCTATCTCTTGCTTTTGGAAATCATTTTTCTAACATAGCCATAAAGGAAGCAGAGAGGTAGCTGATTCTTCTATTGATGTCCTTACAATTTATCACATTTTAGGGTATTTTTAACCCACTCAGTACATACATTTAATCTAAGTGTAATAAAAATGTTCAGAATTATTTACACATTTGGAATTTATACCCATTTCTATTTTTCTTCAATAGGAAATGGCCTATATAAGTACATATTATGCAAGTGGCTGTTAAAATTTATTTAACAATGACTAAGCCTAGCATTTACTTTATATTCTTGCTACCAAGTTCTAAAACTCTTAAGGCTCATACAACAGCATGACCTTTGCAGAAGTCACGTAGGGTCAGACCACACTGTAGCTACTCTATTGCTTTCTGGCTACTCCATTAATAGCTACCAAGTGGAAGGGGAAGGCACTTGGAGCAAGCATTGAACCAGTATACTTGAGGCTGCTTAAAGATAACATGTCTTGA